ATAGGCTTCAAATTTTCCCTTTGTTAAAAAAAATAACCGGTCAAATACGGAAAATATTCCGTTAATACGACCTCTGGTCTCCACTAAGTTTTCCTCCAGAAATGGAGGAAAACATTTTCCAGTATTCCATCTTCCCAGTGGAATACTGGAAAATGGTGTTTGATTTCATTCTTATTGCATTTATATATATAGTTTAAAAAATATGCTGAACAAAGAAGGAAGAACCGAGTTTTACAGATAAGTCTGTAAATGAATTACTGCACTTTCATTCTGTGTTCACAAAAGCTTTTGATAATAAATATTTCTTGTAGACTACTATAAATATGACTGCACTGCAGAGTGTTGCTCCTTTTGTTTGTAGCAACTGGGTCAAACACCGGCGTCATCTTGTGGCACAATGAGGGCAAGTCAAACCGCAAACAACCAAGACTGAATACACAGAAGGGGAGGAAGTTGTGAGCGATTTATCTGTGGTTTTGAATGAAGAAGCTAGATGGAGTGAAGAAGATAAAGCTGGTTCTACTGACGGACTGCAACCCTATTTTCTGAGCCATGTTATTCAGGAAGCAATACTGCATCGTTTCTGGGGAGGAAGAGTCCAACAGTTGAAGCGATTTTACATCTACTCTATTTCAAGATAACACTTACATTCCCACATCACAGATGATGTCCTGGGTAACCGGGGATTCCAGAAGAGTCTTCAGGGCCTGAAAGCTATGAAGCAGCGTGTCTGACTCATAGAAGTGGTCTGCACAGCCATACCCACTGTCAGATACACACCAGACAGAGAGAAAAGGGATTTTAGCAAAGTGAAGTAAAACCAAATCAAAACAGAAACTAAGCCCTCTGATTGGTCAGTATAAATTCATAGTTGTTTTTTTTTGATTGAAACACATAAAAACATGGACTGTGTTTGCTGTTTTGTGAAAAACTATAGAACTGATGCTACAACCACTCACAGAGCATAACATTTACTCCACAAAAGATCACTGCTGATAGCGTTGCTGCTTGACATTGAGTAGAAACGCTTGCTCAAGAGACTGGGAAACTCCTGTACCATGCTTAAAAATCTATTGTTTCAGCACACTAGCTTTTTGTTATCAAATAAAAATGGTTTGATACTATATGTGACATGTTGGTCATGTAAAGCATTAATTGCATTATAAAAGCAGGTGGATTAGGTGACTTCTTATCAATATAGAACATACTGTACTTAATGCAGAACTTGATGTTGGTTTGTTTTTCTTCCTACCATATCTCCAGCTCTGGACCCAGCCGATATTTGGCTCCATTTGCCTTTGCTACCTCGATACCTGCAGAAACACACACGGAGCAGGATGCATTACCGCCTTTAGATGTAGAAAAAAACCTGGTTGCCTATACTGTAATATTTCTGCACTAAAATAAATTCATCCAAAACTTTCTGATTTTTATGTGAAAATTGAAAAATTGAAAGCCACCGATCATCCTTTTGCTTCCACTTTTCCTGTTTGTGACCTAAAAATGCCAATAAGATCCATTAAAGATCTGGTTGTTACTTGACAGAATCAGAAAAAGTTCAAGGGGCATTGTCTTGTAAAACATTATACTGCAGAAATGTTCTAACTTAATCAGGGTGGAACAACACTCACACTTTAACAATACATACATCTATTTAAAGTAACAGCTTGGGATTTTTTTGCATCTCAACAAAGGGACACAAACAAAATTAAAACTAACTAAATTCAAAAAAGAACAATGTTAATATTTTATGACAATTGTTTTTTGAAGGGAACTAAGGGTGTTTTTGCTAGTTATTTTGTATTTTTGCCTTTTCGTAGATGACATAGATTGGGTCTTTCACACCAAACGTTTTTGGTTATAAAAGGAACCGTCTTTCCCACCGATCATCTATTATTTCTAATGTCATACCCACTAGAGTATGCTGTTGCTCCAGTACATCACAACTTGCTCATAGAACCAGGGACAGAAGCTGGGCTGAAATACATGCTTATATCTACTTATATCTAGTATGGTTGTGTGGAGTGCTGCTGCCTACCTACAACAGTCAACAGGCGAGAAGCGGGGTCACACAGGACAGGTCGCCAGTCCATCACAGGGCTACATAGACGGACAGTCTCTACACAGACTCCTATTTGCATTCTAACTCATTTTAAAAACTTTATCTTTCTTACCATCCAGTGTGGAAAAAAACATAGATTAACTTCTGACTCTGGATTAAACCCCACATGATTCCTTATTGTGACAGGTTCAAACATTGACCAAACTAATGTTTTATACCCTCCCCGCCAATCTAGTTCAGACTGTACAAAACCTGCTTCAACAGTAATAACAGTAAACAAATGGTCACATTCTTAATTTAACTCCATCCATGCTCTCATTTTCAGATATTTATTGGTGTTTCAATAGGGAAAAAACCTGACATTCACTCCATGCTGGTCTATTTCCCCCTCCACCTCACCATACAGACACACAACCTATTATTCATCTCTTCTCTGTTGGCAACAAACTGCGCTTGGACATTTTAAAATCATGGACCTTTCAAATGTGTGTCAGTTGGACACTGTGCTGACTGGTGGGGAAATTAAGAACTGCTGTTGCATAGTTGAAAACATTGTGCATATTCTTATGGAATATTTACTGCAGTACTGTGTATATATTTTGTATTTATTTTTGGGTTCTACGTATGTGGTGTTCACTTTAATTTTTCTTCTTTAAAATACATGGTATTGAAAGTTAGTTATTCTTTTGTATTGTTTTACTGATTATGGACATCAGCTCCAGGAGATGCAGCTAGTCTTCTGATATTATGTGCCATAATATCAAAAGATATTATGGTCTTCTGATTAATGTACTAATGTCCCTTAGTACATTAAACACCACTACACAACCACAACACCACCAGTCCATAGGCATCTACTCAGTCCATGTCGGCCAAAGAATAAGTCCACCTTTTGTGCTGCTGTGCTTTAAATCTTTTGATACTCTATGCAGCATCCCTAATCTTGTGCAATGCAGTTAAAAAAAAAGATGTAACAAATTGATATGCGACCCCCGCTTACACCATACTTACCTCATCATTTGTGTATTACAGAGCTTTTTTGATTAATTGCTTAAGCTTTCTTTCATAATATCAAGAAAGAAAAAAAACTAAACACAGAAATTAAAAAACCCCCAAACGAATAGAGTATAATTAGTTGGCCAACTGTAGGCACCATGGAGCACCATAATTGTAGTAATACATCAACAAACACACAAAAAACCTAATTAGAATAATTTTTTGACTAGGTCAGTACAAGAAAAATAATGTGTGTGTGTGTTGGTGTGTGAGATTAGGCAATAATCTATTATGTCTACCCAGAAACCCATTCAGAAAAATAAAGTAATTTCATTGCCACCACTGCATTTATCGATATTTCAAACCCATTATATATATGGGTGAAAGTGACTTTGATTAAATAATCAATGCAGGGTTTTTGTTATTTTAGTTTTTTGGCATATGCCTCCAGGTCTTAAATCTATTTTGTGGGATTCTAAAAATGGGTTTGAAATATAGATAAATGCAGCTACCTTATTTTTTGCGTAAACATAACACTTTCCAGATGTATATATTTGGTAAGAAAGTTTGTCCAGATGATGATATGTAGTGACGTTTTTTGATTTCTAGTTAAGAAGTTTTTTCTTTTTTTTTGGCAATAGAGAAACAAGAAATGGATCTTTGCATTTATCTTGAAAATTTTCAACTTCAATGTGATTACCAAGTATACAGAGAATTATTGAAATGGGGACTCTGCAACCCAAAATGGTGGAGAGTTTTTCGGTTACTGATATCCAGAAGAGTTGAAGGTGTGCAAGTCCAAATGGTATGAAAGTAGGTGTTGATGCTGTTCAAAGTGTATTGTGTCCAAATTTTGCAATTGGTAACACCCATTTTAAATATTTGTCTTTGAGCGATGTGAGATTTGTGAATCATTTTATAATATATAAGTTGTAGGTTTGTGCTAGTGGTGGCAGAAAACTTGTTACAGATTTGGATCCAAAAGGCAGAGGTAGGAGAGAAGGTCAGATCAGTTTCCAATTTGTGTGCTGGGATTGCTGTTGTGATGTCTGAGGATCAAATTATACTATCTGGATGCAAGTTTTCTTATAGTATCAGAAATTTGTATTAAATAATTTAACAATTGAGGAGTTTCCAATAAATTGTTAACTAAGTTTGTTTTGGATTTAAAGAAGTGTTTAAGATGTTGAAGAGAAATTCTTCTCTCCCAACTCTAAACCTCTGAATCAAATCACAGAAAAGTACAAATTGATTATTGTGAAATACATGTTGCAGCTGAGTGATTCCATTTTCTGGCCATGATGAAGAGTAGATGATATTTTAGTGATTCTCGTAACTTTCCACCAGGCTGTCAGAGTTGGCTTTATTGCTGTTGTTTAAAATTACTTATTTTTTTTGTTGATTGCATAAAAAATTGTAATTCTGATATTGAGGTGTTTCTACATTGGTTTTGCTCTGTGTGTTCATTGTTACATATAAACAGATCAGAATATATGTGTTTTTGAAGTCAATTCAAGGCTTCACACATCACGTTGTTCTCACGTTGCCTATTTATATTGCCCATTTGATGTCGCAGTAGAGCAAATGTAGCACCACGGCACATCGGCTTGGTCGAACTGTTGGATGAAATGCTTCAGTGCTTCATGAAGCTTCATCTCGCCATCAATAGTAAACAGCATTAAACGTTGTTTTCTTACAATAAACAAAGTACCACCAATTTTGTGCAAACATAAATTAAATAAATCCACTTACTCTTCAATATTCTCTCCGTGTTACCTTCAAAGTCCAGAACCCACTGATTTAAAGAGCATGTTGACAAGGTCACTTTACGGCCCATCCTCTTCTCCTTGTGCTCACAATCAACACGTCACAGTAGAAAAATAAACTGTGTATGTGTCTATATGTTCACAACTTGTTCGTACTATTCACAAAACCTTAATCAGTGAGTTGTTTGCTTCTACGGTGCTGAGTGTATTGTCACTTCCGCAGGAAAGCAACACAGCTCACTTCCTCGGCTGAAGTTTGTCAGTGTGACGCTGCACTCAGCAGGACGAAGGACATATTACAAGCCAGCAGCATTATTGTTTGGTTGTTTTTCTTTTTCTCGTTCAATGGCGGTTGGCCGACAATGTTTTGGGGCATTACTGCCACCAACTGGAATGGAGTGTGAATTGGGATACTAAATTGTTATATCGATACTACATACAAGAAAAAAATAAATTCTTAAAATCTATTTTCTATTAATTTAGTCTTTCTAAGGTTCATTAGCAAAAAGATAACATTTTAAACTATGTCCAAGTGCAGCATGTCCTGTAGATTAAGCAGTTCTCTTCTCTCAATAGGAGCAGAACAATAAAACATGTTCCCCTGTCAGTAGTGGGTTTAGGTCTGGAGACATGCTTGGTCAGTCCATCACCTTTACCCTCAGCCTCTTCAGTAAAGCAGTGATTGTCTAAGAGGTGTGTTTGGGGTCATTATCATGCTGGAACGCTGCTCTGTGATCCAGTTTCTATAGGGAGGGGATCAGGCTCTGC